TCAATTAATTACACTGAGTTGCTTCACTGGATGTTTCGATAAAAAATAAAAATGATTCACAGACTTCCCAACACTGCCTTAGAGTGAGGACATGGGAGAAAGCGACCTACTGATCGATGTCTACTTCTTCATCAACTAAATGCTAATCAAAACAAAAATGTACGTCAAATCTATTGCAAATAATAAAACAAAAGTTACTGCAATTGAATTACTTTTCTATTTAAAATAAAGAGTAATCCTCTACATATGGCTGTACAATTTGATAAAAACTGAGAATGTGATTTAAAGTGATAAAAAAAACCTGCAGGATTGCAGAGCTTGTTTATAGGGCTGAACAATTGGTGATTATATATCAATATGATTTCAAAAAATTTTTTTTATCGGGATTATAGTTATTGCTAAAAAATATAAATAAAAATGATATATTATTGTATTATTGTTAATAATAATAATTACAAAAGATTACTATTGTAATATTTTACTGTAAAATAAAAACTGAGTACTTAAGAAAAATATAATAATAATTGTTTAGAACAGAAGATAAAGAATCTTAAATCTTCAATTTCAAGCATTAAACATTCAAGCTTTTATTTTGGTGGAAAACTGCATGTGAAATCAGCCTGATAACCAGTAAGGGCATGAAAATAACAGCTCTTACCCAATACTTTGTAATACATATAAAATAATTTTTTTTAAAAAGTAACACACTACCCTCAAATTGTCAGTCCCGCTGTACTATATTTGAAAATTATGGCTTAACTAAATACAGGTATCGCTTCTCAAACTCTAAAAATGGTATTGGTTCATAATGTTTAACACATAAAAGGCTGGACAAATGACTCATGGTCACTAACCAGTGTGCAAGCAATGCAAAAAGTCCATGACCCCACTTTTACCACCATCCCCGTCCGACTCATTCTAATCGGTGGGAAAGGAATGCATACTATTACTTATTAATGGATCACTTAAAATTGTGGGTGACATTTGTGCATCCCATGAATGCAGGGTGTTGTCGTAAAAGGCAGGAGAGTGGCGTTGTGAAACTGTCAGGCATCTTTTGTAAAGTTTTTTGTAGCCTCAAGAGCAAAACTTCTGAATACAGAGTCTGTGTGAAAGAGATAGTAAAAACAGAAACCTTGTAACACACTAACATAAGTCACAGTTAGATAAGTACATAGTTTGTGATGTAATGGCATGTGCAAGTGCATGTGCATGTATGCATTTGGCAGATGTTCCAAAGTGACTTAAAAGGCTTTCAATGTAAATTTTTATGCGTGTTCTCTAGGAATTGACCCCATGACATTGTCGTTGCTAGTACCATTGTCTACAAATTGAGCTACTTAAAATAAAGACATATAACTAGCAATGCATCTGTCATTTGTGACAAATTAGTCACTCTACCCTGTACCCCGCTGACCCCGGTGCTTATAACCCACCACTGACCCTCTCTCCCCCTGTGCGAGTTCAGACCCTGGGGCTTTTCCAGGACACGTAGCCATACATATATACACATCCCTTAGTATTTTCTTGTCCCCTGTATCCATCTAAACTCTCATGGTCCAGACGCTCATTTTCTCATATCCACCCTCCCCCAGTCAGGCGAGTGACTCCTGTCATTGTCGAGGCATCTTTGTCTTGGATATGCCATAAAGGGGTCATTGTTGCTATTCTTCTGTGTTCCCAGCCTCTCTCTCATCCAGTCTATCTCTCCATAATTTATTTTCTCTACACCTGCTGGTAAAACACTATTTGATAAATCTAATTTTACACCTTTACAGGCAATTCACATGCTCAGATGGTATGGACATCACATGACTCACTAAACTGAACTCACTAAAATCAATATTACAGAACAGCCAAGTCAGGTAATCAAAAGTCCCCAAAAAAAAAAAAAAACCTCTAGTGAGTGTGCATACACAAAACGGTTTCCTAAGTGTTCTTAATAGATGTGTTAATGCCTTTTATGTCCACAGTTGGGTACTTAAACATGTCCTGTAATTGAGGTTTCAGTTGTCACGCACGCATGGTACACTAGTAAACTTAACTAGCTATTATGATGATATCTACATTGTCATAGACAGCAGAGTGGTCACAAGCTGATATAATGCTCATATATAAGCTGATATATATTACAATTATTTGAACAAGGACACAGTAAAACTATTAATATTGTTAAATACGATAATTTAAATGAATGGTTTTTATTATATTTGAACAGTTTTAATTATTTTAAAATGGTATTTATTTCTGTGATGACAAGGCTGATTTTTCAGCAGCTATTATTCCAGTCTTCAGTGTCAAATGATCTTTATTTGCCGATAATCTCAGAATTGTCTAATATCATCTGATTAATGTGTCTGATCATCTGATCTCATGTTAATGTTGAGTACCTATAGAGTAGTACTGCATCCTTCATATCACTGAAGAGTCTTTAGTTTTATCAGATTTATAAAAGACAGATGCAGCAAATGTACCGCTTCTCTACAGAAAACAGTCAAGCTGATGGAGGTGTGCCATGGGCGGAGCTAAAGAATCATGAGCACACAAAGCTTTTGCGTAACGATCGTCTGCAAGCTGCAACATTGATATAAATAAAACAGGAACAAAAGACTTAAATTTTATTTCATTTGTTTATAAAACATTTGTCACTGAAATGCCGCGAACAAACACTTGCACAACTCCGGAGAAACAAACTGCATCCGCTGTTCCCTTAATGCTGTTTTATTTGGGAAGCTGAACAAGGTTATCTTTCTCTCACAACCAAAAACACACTTTTTTTGGTGACACTGTTGATTTTGTGGTCTAAAAACAAAATGACATATCCTTCTCGAGCAAGTCCTGTGCAGTGCTGCCGATGACTTCCGTAACCCAAATGAAGTACGTTGATGGCCGCGCTCTTGCTCTCGCTCTGGGGTGCGTTTTCCAAAAGCAACTATGGTCACAAGTTCCGTCATTACCAATAGAGTTAAAGGGAACTAACGACCATAGTTAGCTAATAATGCTTTTGGGAAACGCACCTCTGGTTGATGTGTGCGCACGCTTTTCCGGGAGAATTTTTCCATTTATTACATCATACAGGGCTATATTCGAAAAAAACTTTCTGAAACTTATACGAACCCTGAAGGAGTGTATTTGGCAGAGAAATACTCCATACATCCAACTCGTTTTTTGAAACTTTGGCCATGTTTGCCATGAGAAGTCAACTCTTTAACAGTGTACATAAGTTAGGATGAATGAAATATCATTAGACCTCCCCTTTACGTTGAATACAAGTACTGAACGTGTGCCACCACAATTTGATAGCACCAGACAGTGTGCGTTAGCCATTTGCCATTTCTGTGTTCCAGTAAAGACCTGCCTGAGGAGTGTGTCAGGGGAAGGTGATCGGGGGTTTAGCGTTACTCTCAGCTGAGTCACCCTTCCAGTTGATCCCCATTTCTCTTTTGTTTTTGCCAGTGTGTGGGCCATTCTTTAATAACGGTAACTCAAGTCCAGTGTGAGCTCAGTTAACAACATGGACTGACCACCGACTTCAGCCTATCAACTCACACACACAGGGTGACATCACTTTAAAGGAGGTCACAGTAATCAGATTATCCTAGTTATTCAGATGCACTGACAACCAGCAAACCAAGTATGTTCAAATTAGCCCCCCAGGCAACGTGAGGGAGAGGCAGTTATTACAGTAATTTTGGTATGCTAATGTAAATGTCTTTGTCCCTGACTCTTCGTGTCATTGTTCTAATATGATACATTTACAAAGCACCATTGATTTACACCAATTGTGAGGGGCTACTTTAAATTTAAATATCAGAGTTAAATTTTGTGACAAATGCTGACGCTAGTAAGGGAATGCAGTTATTGGTGAGGTAAAAGGGTACCATACACACAATCCCACTATAGTGTGTCGTTGAGAGGGGACTGTACTGTGGGGGAGGGGGATGTCTAGGGTGCAATAGAGGGGAGCTGGGAAGAGGCTGGAGGGCTTGGAATCCGCCTCTGTTGCCACGGCAGCTGTGCCAATCTCCAAGTGCACCTACAGTTTGAAGAGGATACCTGAGCTCAGAGCCCCTGGATAATGAGAAGCAGTGAAACTCTAAACTCTGACAGCTAATGCTTTTACCCCTCCTGTGTCTACAGGGGCACGATAAACATGCATCCCATCTCTGGGAGAGGGAGCAGCACTGGGATGACTATTTTCATGGATTTGACAAGGACAGGGATTAGCAGACTTTGCTAAATCTTCTCTTGAGTGTCTGTCAAGCTCTGCTACTGCAAAAACTGCAAAAGCTGTACCCTTAGTATCTAGTGTGCAGTGTTCCTTTTCCCAAGTGCATCCATACTCATTCATTCAGCTACTCTCTTCTTTCTGCCCACAACAACTCCAACTGCGCTTAGCAGCAAATAGCACAAAGGACCAAAAATAGCCCAATGTTTTACAGAGCAGAGCAGCTCTCCTTAAGAAGAGGAAGCAATGCCACGACAAGAGGCTATAAGCAAGTCCACACACAGCATCTATTCCTTTTGTTCTGTCACTACAGTCGCCCCACCTGTGCAAAACCCATAATTCCCATTGCAAATTTGAGGATGCAGAATTATATATTTGATGCATTGCATTTATGTTGGGACTGTATCTGTCATGCTAGAAGTGTCCCAAAGGCATTTACCCTTAATCAGTATGTTGCTGCGTATGAATATGTGTTGGTGTTGAGTGCATCATAACATTCTGAGAAAAAAATGTGCAAATGTTGTACCTTTAGGGGTACAACAGCTTGTTGCTGGGGTTGTACCCTCAAAGGGACATCTTTGTATCCTTTTGAAACCTTAAAGGTTCATATTAGCATCTTAAGGGTTCATATTACTACTCAAAGATACTAATATGGACTTTTAGGCACAGATGAGGTGCAAAGTTGTTGCTTTAAGGGTACTGACCCAGTGACAAGTTCTTGTACCCCTAAAGGTACAATTTTTGCTGTGAAATATAAAGAAACATTACTCACTGTTGCTTGATTTGAGGTCTCGATGGATGATTGGCACAAAGGTCTGGTTGTGCAAGTAGTCCATTCCTGTCGCAATCTGCACTGCCCAATTCACCAGTACCCGAGGAGGCACCTTCTTCCCAGCAAGTGCCCGGTTAAGTGCCCCGCCACGGGCATATTCCATAACCAGGCAAAGATTTGGCTCTCGCAGGCAAACACCTCGGAGGGCAATGATGTTGCGGTGTTGGAGCATCCAGAAGAGTCTGGCCTCCTGCCTCACGTTCTCTGCCGTAGCACTGATGTCCTCATCTGGGTCCTGACGAGCTGCTTTAACAGCTACTTCCTCACCTCGCCACACACCCTTATACACCTTTCCAAAGCCTCCAGCACCGATCACCTCCTCCAAGCACAGCTCTGAGAAATCAATCTCCAGTGGCGACTCCCCACCGACCAGACCTCCCGGAGGCAACGCTGGATAGCTGGTGTCCCGTCGGGTCACATAATTACTAGGAAATATGCCCACCTTGTCCTGGATCTTGCCAGTCCACCAGCCCTCATCTCCAGACACTTTTGAGTCCTTGGAGAGCACCTCCAGTAGGTCGCCACGTCGCAAGGTCAACTCCTCGTCCGCTGTGGCCTCATAATCAAAGACAGCTGTCCAGTACGTGTTACTGCCTTCATGATGTTGAGGAAGATGGGAATCTGGGGAGTCCACTGAAGAGGAAAAAGTAGAGGAGTTCTGGCTGCTGCTGTTGTGTGTCAGGCAGGGTATTGAGTTTGCATTTGCTGAGAGGGCAGGGGGAACTCTGGGTCCACAGGAACCTCCCCTACTGGTACAAGGTAGCGGGGCAGCACTGCCACCACCTCCAGCTCCTACTCCACTCAGTCTCGTATATGGATCCATCACTGAGTGTTCAGGTCAGCGATGTGGTCTCAAAAGCTGGAGGAGGCCCTCTGTCAACTTGTGCACAATATCCATGCAGAGCCCATCTACTGAGTGCAGGCCTTCTTGATGAGGAACGAAATCAATAAGTAAAGCTTTTGCTGGGCTTCCACTGCACTGTCCTCACCAACTGCTTGGATTGTCCACAGCACACTTTGTGTGTGTCTTAACATTTATAGAGCCATTTTAGTCAGTCAGTATGTGCTAACAGCTATAATATGATGATGCTCTATAGTTCTATAGATTTATAGATGATGACACTGAAAAAGAGTTTTGCTAGAGAAACCAAAGTCCTTGAGATTAGGTGAGAATATCCAGTCCATCAAGGTGTGAGAATCTTATCTTTTTGGTTACTTGATGCAGCATTTGGCTTTTCCATCTGAATAATCATTGATGACACTGCTTGATTGGTTTCTCTTTTTAACAGCAGAATCCAGAAGTAAACAAATATTACTAAAGATAATACAGTAACTAGATGGGTCTTCTGATAATTTGCCTTACATCACACATCATCATGTTCTAGTAGGGGTTAGGTTCTACCTAAATAGCTTGCACTGGAATGTTGTCTTAACCTCTAATCCATGTAAAACTCTCATATTTGTAAACGTACCTCGATGTTAAACTTTTTTTGCAATGAATGTTAATGAATATTCATAGCCTTAAACACATGCATGCGCAGGCTTAAGCCTTAAGGCATCCTCAAACATTCAGCTCTGATTGGCTCACAGAGATGCACCAGCTCGCGATCTCAAAATATCCACAATTATTTGCACATTTGTGATATTCACTTTACGTGTCTCTTGTGTTGTATAAATTCGAAACATTGCGAACGCTATAAGACAGTTCAATGAAAGTGCGCGTCCATTTTAAGATGAGAATCACAACAGAGAGATGGCAGAGCCGTGGCTGTCATTAGCTTTAATCGACATACATAATGTACGCCACATATTTATCGCTTTGCACATCGGGAAAGGCATATATTCGGCGTATTAATATTTAATCGATAACGTTTCTATAGCCACTACAAGTCTACAGTTTGCAATTAAATCCACGTCATAAGCCAAAGCGACTGTCGGTTCGTGTTATTTCTATGAACCGCATGTGCAAGTGCTTACTTCGATCATTTCGTCCTCATTTTCCATAATTGTCATTTTAACAGTAGACATTTTATTTTCATAGAGCAGTTGAATCATCAAGCGGGAGTCAGATGCGTATATAAATAGAAATGTATGACAAGCTGAACAAAACTTCGGCTTGGTATTTGATTATTATGATACAGCGATATTGATATATTTCTATGAAGAATGAGAGTGATGCGGATGGCTTGCATAGAGGTGACTTTTATCCAGGTCGTAGCGATTAGGCGACGAAATTCTCCATAATATGTTTATGTTGCCCAAATAAAAGCCAACAAAAGATGTGTCCACCATCTTTACAATGACAATACTACTACTACTACTACTAATAATAATATTAATAACTATAATGGTAATAATAATATCCACCTAATTACTTTCTAGATTCTGCAACGACATTTATTTTAATCCAGAGATCAGTGGTAAAGTATGCGTTCCTCCAGCCAAATCAACCGGTTTTCTGAATTCGGATGTATGTTTGTGGTTGCCTGGATCGTTCACCGTACATCACAACATCCACACAGCTCGTCGCATGGGCGTATCATACCGCTGAAATATTGCCATTTGTTGTACACATCATCGAATTCCTCTGAAGGATGCTCTTGTAATCGTGCTCCCAGCTGGGTCAGTTGGTCAGCCTGTCGTTCATCTCAGCTTGAATCGTTTCTTCCTCTGTTTCCTTTCCCTGTGAGAAAGGCAATCTATGCCATGGACCGGACTGTCAACTCCTAAGGCTGACTTTGTATCCAAATACACCGGCTGGACTGGGGGTGGAAGACAGTAGGGCATTATGGGAAATGGAGTTTATAGTGTATGCAAAGTGCGTTTGACCGTATTAGGATCATTTTATATAAGATAACATACTTACTAACCACAATAAAGACAGTAACACTGCAACATATTGTTACATATTTTCTTTATTAGTGTTTTAAAATGTAATGGCAAAGCCTTATTTTCATCAGCCATTACTCCGGTTTTGAGTGTCACGTGATTCTTCAGAATTCTAATAGGCTGATTTGTTGCTCAATTCTAATTAATTAATATTGGCACTCAATTAGGCTATTAATTATGGTTCTTATTATTATCAGTGTTTTGATACTGAAAATTGCTGCAATATTTTTTGTGGACAACTTTTTCTATCGTCCATCTGAAACATAATTCCCCAAACGTTTAATGGTAGTAGGCCTATATCACGGTTTCCTCAAAAACAATAAGCAGCAAAAACTTTATATTATTGGCAACTTAATTGGAAGTCCTCTTTATTACCCTGAAACATAAAATGATGGATCTCTAATTTTTCATTAGGCAAAAATATCACTTTATAATCTTTATTGTCATATACCTGTCAGATGACTATGACAATAAAGATTATAAAGTGATATTCTGACTCAGGTAGATGGAAATGCAGTCCAGTGAAACAGCAGACCTGCACAACATGTACAATATTGAGAACAGCTTTGCTCCATTATGTCATACTGCCCTCTGGTGAGATTCTGGATCACATCAATGGCAGTTTTTCTTTTTGGCCTCTTGTAGTCAGTCATGCCATAAGGTCCTGTTCTCTTTAGTACACACTCTGTCTGCCATGATTAAGTTGATTTAGGTTGAGCTTTCAGGATAGAGGACATAAGATCCCAGTCCCATTTACCTGCTCTTTCCGCATCACTCTTTGGTCTTGTAATAACAGAATAGAGTCTGTGGAGCAATTCAAGAGATTCATGGCAGCAGATAATGACATAAATTCAGAGGATGCAGTTAGACGGTGATTTTAAAGCAAAAACAAAAAAAAAACTTGGTATAGACATCAACCATTGTTTTCTAGCACTGTACTCTATGCATTGGGTCTTTAACTATTTAAATGTGAAATTATGTGATAACCCGAGGACAAGGTTTGTTTTATTTTTTTTTATTTTTTTTATTTTTTTGTAATCAGTGTAATGTAAAGACATTTAAAACCTGTTGTATGGTGGTGAATAATGGCATCACACATTGCTCTCCTGTTTTCATGGACATGCAAATTCACTAGGCCGCTTTAAATATTTTTGCTTATGGAAATTCAGACACATTTTTAAGGCTGGTATATTTAAATGTGAATCTCCATTAAAATGGTTTCTGATCATTCAATTTTTTGTGTCAGAATCCACAAATATGGTGTCTCTTTTTCAAAGCATTAACTTTTTGTTGTGAGACCTATGTTTGTTGATCTATTCTCAAACATAAAACTAACTATAGCACAAAACTAGCTCTTTTAAAAACTTGCTGCACTTAATAAACAAGTCTTTTTTTTTCGGTTCATAGTTACAGTTCTAGACACATATCTGTTTCTATAATAAGATTCTGCACAAGATTAAACGTTTTGATTTATAACATTTACAACAGTTTAAGGACATAGGACAACCTAAACTATGACAATTTTACCCAAGTATTAAAATCTGTTTTGAACATATATTTAGATAACTTTATAAAGATCAAAAACATTATTTACCAAGTTACAGGCTGCAAAGTATTTGCATAAATGTTGGTAAAAATCTGTTAAGAAATAAAAATAACTAAAAACAATTAAAAGTACATAAATAAATGCGTTACCAACTTGTTTCAGTTGACAAACAATACGTTTCAAAGTAATTTAATAAAAGTATATACCCTATCCAGTATGGTCAAGTCGAGCGTGTTATAACACGAGTGACCACAAGGGTGAGCTATGCACTACTCAAAAAATGTTCCTGACCTGCCTGCTAAGTATAACGTGCTATAGATAGACATGTATCTAAATTTATGACATACTATAGAGTCCTCCAAAAAAGGATTTTCTTTGCAACCGTAAAATGTTTCTGTTGCACGTACCACGTGTGCGCTGGTTTGCAAAAATGCTTTGAAATACCCCCAAAAATATGACACTGCAGTCTGACGTCATGCAATCGCATCAAAGCACATTAATTTCCATGTGGAAACATGCTGTACAGTACAACACAACACAACCAAAGTGTCATTTCCACATTTAAACTACGTTGTCGCTACAGCATTCGTTAATGCGTTGGTTTTCCCATATAGTCACGGTGTGCGAAAGTATTAACTGGTTTAATGCCAGTGGCTTCTATAATCGTATCGTAACCATATGGCATACGGTTATGGATATGGAAATGGAAATGAAAATGAAATGTACAATATTGATTTGTTTTTGTTATAAGATAAATATTATATTTATAATGCAAAGAGGATAAGTTTAAACCCAAATTCCACAAATTTCACTGTCAAAAACAGGAAAGCCAGAAAGACTGTGTCGTTGTTTAATGAGTATGCCATTCAAGTGATGTCTATTAGTTGTTTAATTTGTCTGTATATCGTTTGTAATGCTGTAAATGAAACTATAAACTATAACAATTTGCTTCCCACGTTACATTGCGGAATTCGCTGTCTTTCATACATTACTACAGACACTTGTGAATGCATCCCCGCGCATGCTCAGTGGCCTGTGTGTGTGTGTGTGTGTGTGTGTGTGTGTGTGTGTGTGTGCGCGAGTAGCACCGGGCGTCGTGGTTTCGGTTGGCTGGGAGGAAGAGGAATAACGAATGTGGAGCCAAGAAGAATTCCTCGTTGGCGAAAAGCGACAATATCCACAGGATTTCTGAAACGTTTTTACGGACTACACATGTCTCCTTAGGGAAATTTAGGGAAGTTTTCCCCTCGCGAGTTCCAGGGTTGGCTAAGGTAAGAGACGTTTACCGGGGATAATTAGTTTTTATGATCAGGTTTAAATCAACAATGCGAAGTGGCTAGCAAAACTCGGGAGCCTTTGGACAGCTTTCAGGGTTTGTTTCTTTATTATGTACACGATAATATAGTGGGCAGTGGTGGTTTTTATGAAGCAAGCACTGGTCATTATGCAGGATTTGGGATCACTGTAATGTATTTTCATTAAGTGAAAAAACGTTAGCAAATATAAACGCGTTAGTCCTTCCTGATCAGTCAGCGCGCATGCGTCAGCACTATGTATTTTTTACTCACCTGAAAGGCCATGCTACAATAGTCAGACTACAAGTTTCACACAATGGTGCTCTTGTTCTTGCAGAAGGTAGGGTCTTTTGAAGCATCTTAAAATGACGTTTGTTGCTGGAGAGGGCAGATTGTTGCTTTCTCATAAAGTTTTAGCACATGGAGAATCCTTGGAGAACCCAGTGGAAATGCTGCTAGGCAATATATTTCAGTCTACAAATGTTGTTTTACAGTTTGTTTAGGCATAAATTAGCTATTTGGTTTGAGTTTAAAGTTTTGTGTTTAACAAATTTGTGCATTATTTGGATATACACATTATGTATTTTTGGTAAAAGTCAGAAGATTGTAATTTATCTCCGCAATCTTAATAACAACAGGTGGCTTATGTATTGTTATTGGATTAAAGGAATAGTTCAACCACATTATTATTCTGCAGTCATTAATTTACTATCATCATGTTACAAACTTGTATGACGGTTTTTTTGTGTGTGTGTGGGGGGGCAATACAAAAGTTGTAGAATCATAGCCTCAGTCATTTGCTTTAACCCTGTAAAGCCACATGTAAACTATTGGTCAGTCATCATCTAATTGTTTGGTAATGCAACAGTTTATTGAACCTTTAAATCTAAACAACAAAAACAACATTTGGTTTGTTCATTGTTTTATTTATTTTATTGATTTTTGTCATGTTCAATATGTTCTGATAAGCATATATCTGAAAATCTGATAGCTTGTAATGTTAATCAGCAAGATCTTTACAGCAAAGCTGACATAAAATGCATATAAATATCAATCGGCATTCTATATTGCCCAATAAAATGTATTAAGATAATATTTAAATGCTTAGTTTTATGATCAAAGCTCTGTAGTTTTAATTGTGGGGGCCACAACATATAATGCTGTGCGATACAGTAATGACTGAATATAAATAAATAAACATTCATCAAAAGCCTTTTAAATAATATTTGATACCTTTTAAAGGGGTCATATGATGCGATTTCTTTGAACATTAAAGCATGTCAACATATTCTGTTACACCAAATACACAAAACAATGATCTTTAAAAAAGCATCATATGACCCCTTTAACATGATTTTTTTATCCAAAAAAAAAAGGAAACGGTAATCAAGTAAACATAAGTTGCTTCAGTCCTGTAAGCAAATATTATTAATAATATAAAAGTTATTCTTTTTTTAAGATTTCACCGTGAACGTCTAGGTTTTTAGGAGTCTTTAGAGATTTTTAAAAATAGGCCTTTTACTTGCAAAAAAGCAAGTTCAATCAGACAACAGAACACATGTAGTAGATTGTGTACACCAGGTTTTTCAGCAAATTATGATCATTAAAAGCCTATATGTATCAAATATGATTCTTTAGGCTCCATAGGGTTAATTTTGAATACAAGTTCCTAACATTTCTGATTAGGTTGAGAGTACATTTATGGAATTTATATTGTAATTTTCATTTTTGGATGAACTATCCCTTTAAGGGCTTTGTTATGAATATTATTAACTCCACTGCAGGTCATGCACTGATGTGTAGCTGTATAATTAAAAATCAGCATATGTTTCAGGGGAAGTCAGATGGCATTACCAGTGCACACACCACACCACCACATTAAACAATATAAAATTAGAGAACCAGACTGTCGTGCCTGGAATTTAGAGGTTTTATTTTAGTAACTTCCTCTCTGAGGCTAATTCAATCACATGAACGTATCTGATACAAGTCATATCTGCCAAATT